CCCAAAAACCCCACCCAATCCACTCTGTATGCCCACACACCTTTTGCACTGACTTGCTCTCTGCCTTCCACCAGCCCAATTTCTACCTCCCCTGTGAGACCCAGCTCAAGTACTGCCTAATGAAGTGGTATAGATTCTGTAAATGCAACACTCAGGAGGCTGAGGCAGCGTCCCAAGTTCAAGGCTAGCTTGGACTACAGAGTGATACCTTGTCTCAAAACACAAAGAAAGAAAGAAAGAAAGAAAGAAAGAAAGAAAGAAAGAAAGAAAGAAAGGAAGGAAGGAAGGAAGGAAGGAAGGAAGGAAGGAAGGAAGGAAGAAAATGAAACAAAACAAAGAAAGAAAAGAGAATGGGGGTAAAGGATGTAATTCTATTTTAGTTAAATTTTTAAAATTTTAAATCATTTTATTAGCTAAAATATAAAAAGGTATGTTCTTGTGTTATCCCCACATACATTTACATATCCATCAATTCAAATTTATTTGTGACAACGTTGCACAAAAACAAGTTGTTATTTATATATTTTTTTAAAGCTTCCAGGGCTTGAGAGATGGGTCAATGGTTAAAAGTGCTTGCTGCCATTCCAGAAGACCAAGTTCAGTTCCCAGCACCCATATTGGATGGCTCACACTGTAACGCCAGCTCCAGGAAAATCTGATGCTCTCTTCTGACCTCTTCCAACTTCTGTATAAATATGGCACACACACACACACACACACACACACACACACACACAAATAAATATTTAAAACTAGTAGGGATCTAGAGAAACAATAGTTTAGAGTCCTGGCTGATTTTCCTGAGGGCCTGGACTGATTCTCAGCACCCACATGGTGACTCACAGCTGTCTGTAACTTCTGTCCCAAGGGATCTACTGCCCTCTTCTGGTCACCTCAGGCACTACATGATATGGTACACAAACATACATACAGGTGAAACACCTATCACAAAGTAAAAAGAAATCTCAGCTGGGCGGTAGTGGCACAGGCCTTTAATTCCAGCAATAGGGAGGCAGCCAGGTGGATCTCTTTGAGTTCAAGGCTAGCCTGGTCTACAAGAGCTAGTTCAAGGACAGGTTCCAAAGCTACAGTGAAACCCTGTCTCAAAAAACAAAAATAATCTGGGGACCTCTCCTTGGGCCTGGGAACCCCTCCAGAATCAAGTCTCTTGCAAACCCTAAAATGGCTCCCTTAGTTGAGATATAAACTTCCCTGCTCCCATAACCATCCTTCCTCCCTCCCCTCCTCCCATTCCCCCAAGCCATCCCCAATCCTCCCCCTCTCCCTTCTCCCTAACCATCTTCCCTTACTTCCACCCCCCCACACACCCCTCCCGTGCACCCAAGTTTGCCTGGCAATCTTGTCTACTTCTAATATCCAGGAGGATAACTATATGATTTTCTTTAGGTTCACTTTCTTATTTAGCTTCTCTAGGATCATGAATTATAGGCTCAAAGACCTTTAACTATGGCTAGAATCCACTTATGAGTGAGTACACACCATATTCCTCTTTTTGGGTCTGGGTTACTTCACTCAGTAAAGCGTTTTTTATTTCCATCCATTTGCATGCAAAATTCAAGATGTCATTGCTTTTTTACCGCTGAGTAAAACTCTAATGTGTATATGTTTCACACTGGGCAGCAGAGGAGAGGGTGCCTGAACTGGCCTTGGCCCATAACCATATTGATGAATATTTTGCATGTCACCACAGAACCTTCATCTGGCGATGGATGGAGATAGAGACAGAGACACATATTGAAACACTGGACTTAACTCTCTAGGTCCAAATGAGAAGCAGAGGGAGGGAGAACGTGAGCAAGGAAGGCAGAACCAGAGGGAACCTTCATCCAACGATGGATGGAGATAGAGACGGAGACCCACACTGGAGCACTGGACTGAGCCCCCAAGGTCCAAATGAAGAGCAGAAGGAGGGAGAACATGAAAAAGGAAGTCAGGACCGCGAAGGGTGCGTTCACCCACTGATACAAGGGGACTAATCTAATGAGAGCTCACCAAGGCCAGCTGGACTGGGACTGAACGAGCATGTGATCAAACCGGATTCTCTGAATGTGGCTGACATGGGGGCTGACTGAGAAGCCATTGACAATGGCACTGGGTCTTGTTTCGGCTGCATGTACTGGCTTTTTGGGATCCTGGTCTGTTTGGATGCTCACCTTCCTGGACCTGGAGGGAGTGGGGAGGAACTTGGACGTCCCACAGGGCAGGAAACCCTGACTGCTCTTGGGACTGGAGAGGGAAGAGGAGAGGGAGTGGGGGGAGCGGGAGGGTATTGGGAGGAGGGGAGGAAGTGGAAATTCTTATAAATAAATAAATAAGAAAAAAATAATAATAGATAGATAGATAGATAATTTTTTAGGAAACCAAATCTTACCTAATTACCTTAGTGACTCCATTTGTATCTCAGGGTTTTGAAGTACATGCTGTCCCCTAACTAAATGTCAGCCTCCTGAAAATAGAGAAAACTGCATAGAAAGAAATAGCATCAGTGGTATCGGACTAAGACCAAATTATCAGTCTGAGGAGAGTGCTCACTACCTAACACAACCCTCCAGCATGGTATTGAGCTAGGACAAACTGGAGAAGAGAAATGAGGAAAAAAAAATAAATGCAGGAGGCAGAAGCAGAACTGTTATAAATTCAAAGTCACCCTTAGCTCTACACTAAGATTCTATTTTTAAGATCATTTTATCAATTCCCTTCTTTTGCAGAACCAACTTCATACACTCCCTTACTCACAGAGGCTCTAGGAAAGACTTCCCTGTTCACTGTCTGTTCAACCCTGACAAATGTCACCCAGCATTCAAGTTGAGCAATCCCTCTTTCTTTGACACATTCCTAAAGTCTCTGGTATAGACACCAAATTTAGTGCTGATGTGTTCAAGATTGTTATAGTTTGGATCTTCCATGCTTTCCAAAAGCCTGTGAGTTAAAGACCTGGTGGCTAGACTATTGAGAGGTCAGAAAAACCTTTAGGAGACAGAGTTTCGTAGAAAATAATGAGGTCGTGGTGGGGTATACAGCCTTAAAGAAAATATTAGAATCCTGTTTCTATCTGCTTTGTTTCCTGGTTGCTAGGACATGAGTGGTTTTCTCCACTGTGCACTCATTCCATGATGTGTATCTCAACACAACTTCTGGAGTGACAGGGCAGACTGGCCGTGGAATAAAACCTCTAACACTGCAAGCCAGAAATAAAATTCCTGTCTTTTGTGAGGTGCATGTTTGCCAGGAAGTTGGCTGGCACAGTCACCTCAATGTTGACTGTGAGCATTATCAGCTTTCTCCTTTTGCCTTGGGCCATTTCCAGAGACTGGAACCAAGATCCCCACCAATGTGGGCAAACACAGTTCAAGAGTTTCTATACTCCTCAAGCTTTCTTGGATCTGAAGCTCTGGTGATCCCCCACAAATAAAATCCCCTGTCCTACAGAGACCCACATCGGAACACTGGACTTAACTCCCTAGGTCCAAACGAGAAGCAGAAGGAAAGAGAACGTGAGCAAAGAAGGCAAGATCAGAGAGAACCTTCATCCGACGATGGATGGCGATACAGACGGAGACCCACATTGAAGCACCGGACTGAGCCCCCTAAGGTCCAAATGAGGAGCAGAAGGACGAAGAAAATGAAAAAGGAAATAAAGACTGCGAGGGATGCGATCACCCACTGATGCAAGGGGACGGATCTAATGAGAGTTTACCAAGGCCAGTTGGACTGGGACTGAACAAGGACGCAATCCAACCAGATTCTCTGAATGTGGCCGGATTTTCTGAATGTGGCTGGCCCGGAGTCTTTCTGAAAAGCCATTGACAATGGCACTGGGACTTGTTTCCTCTGCATATACTGGATTTGGCGGATCCAGTCTGTCTGGACACTCACCTTCCTGGACCTGGAGGGAGCGGGGAGGAACTTGAACTTCCCACAGGGCAGGAAACCCTGACTGCTCTTAGGGATGGAGAAGGAGGAGGAGAGGGAGTGGGGGGAGTGGGAGGGTGTTGGGAGGAGGGGCGGAAATGGAAACTTTTATAATTTAATAAAATTACTTTAAAAAAAAATCCCCTGTCCTATAGACTGAAGCAACTAAACCATAGCAACTTCCTGATGAGCAAGAGGCCTAGTTTTCTCCCACTGCTCCAGAGAAGGGGTTTTACAGCAAAGATAATTGCCTTTGATTTTGTTTGTTTATTGTTTTTTTTTCTTTTTGTGGTGCTGAGAATCAAACCTGGAGCCATGTGCATGATAGACAAGCATTCTATCACTAAGCTACATCGCATCTCTTCATTTTCAATACATTTATTTAGGGGTGAGGGGAGTGTGCGTGCCATCAAGTGAGTATGAAGATCAGAGGATAACTTATTGGTTCTCTACTTCCTCTGTGAGTCCTGGGAATTGAGCTCAGAACAATTAGCTCATCAGCCACCAGCCCTTCATTTTTGTTTGTTTTTCTTTATTTTCTTCTTTTTTTAAAATAGGTTTTGTCATCACACTCAAGTCCTCCTCGCCCTCCCCAGTGCTGGAATTGCAGACATACACCACCACAACCAATTTGAACTGCCTCCTCTTACTCTAGCTCTGCTTCCCCTTTATGTGGTTAGGGAACTGGAGGGAACTGCCAACAGTGTGAAGACAGGGCAACTACCCAGACAGAAGTACTTCCATTGCTGCTATTTGCCAGCAGATAAACAAAGGAGACATACCAGCCTGCCTCTCTTCTGCCAGCCTGCAGTGTCCCATTTCTTGCTATAAATAGCCAAAAAGTACAAGGAAATTCAAGTGTTGGAAAAAAGCTAAGACAACAAAATCATAACACTGTAGGGGGTGAGGAGTTAAGGACAGCTGCCAAGCTTTCAATCACTCCTTGGTTCTCCAGAGTGTTGTGTTTCTTTTGTTTGACCAGTTTTGCCTCCCACATTCCTATAAAGCACCTGGTTCAATCTTTTACCAGCAAAACCAGCACCGCCTTCTTATTCTTGCCTTCTAATGGGTACTCTGGCATGAGATTAAACTGTAGACACCACCCCACCCAAGCCATTCCAAGGAATCAGAAGCCTCTAAGTGGTAACAATCCACACCATCTTTAAGCAACAACAGCACTAACAAACTACAGCCACAATGAAGGTTCTAGTCTCTGTCTTCCTTCTGTTGCTGCCAGCGATGCTCACAGTCTCCAGCAGACCAAATCCAGGTAAATGAGATGAAATCATATTCTCTCTTTTCTTTCCCTCCCTCCCTTCCTCTTTACCTCTTCCTTCCTTCCCCCCAACTAATTTTCTTCCCCCTTGAGACAGGGTGTTGATATGTAGCCCAGGCTGACCTGAAACTTGCACTCTTCCTACCTCAGCATCCTGAGTACCAGTATTATAGGCATGTGCCACCATGCCCTGCTCAAGATTACTTTGTACCTCACCTGTAATGTGCATATACCAAAAATTAATTTGATATTAATGGAGGAAATGGAGTAGGAAATGTGGCAAACCCAACAACATACCCATTAAAGTGTTCTTTTAGCTACAAGTTGGAGCAATTAAGTTAGTCTTTCTCAGTGTCAATATCCTCATTAACAAAAAGGAATGACCCTACTTATCCCAAAGAGTCTGTGAACTTTAAGAAATATTGCCAAAATGTGTGCAACTGAAGCTGGCAACATACACACATGCACACACATAGCCCAGATCAGATCCACTTACCTTTCCTTCCCTAACCTCTCCTAGAAAAGTCACAAATTTCCTCAGGTCTCAATTAGAGAGGTTGTGGTAGAAATTAAAGAAATTAAGAGTTTTATTTTTTTTAGAGCTTGTCAGTTAAGTCACTGATGTTACAAACTGGACAGTCCTATCACCAGGTAGTAGCCATGCAGACACTTTGGTCATGCCGTGCTCTGTTAAAATGGTCTGCCTTGGGAAAAGCAGACCTTAGCAGTGGTTCTGAATCTGCTCCAGTTTTCATCAGAGCCAGTGTGACCCAGCCCTTCACAGAACAACCACACAAAAACAAGATCACATCCATCCTTGTATCTTTCTACTTGAGAATACTATCCCTCACAGCCCCTCAGTTATTTGGGCGTGAAATAACTTGTGACAAACTCAGCAGCAATCCTAAATTTAGGATCACCTGCCTTCTACAATGTCCAACTTCTCTCCTTTCTAGAGAAAGTTCTTTGGAAATTGCTGGGTTCTACAGTCCTGGGGCTGGAAGCATCACCCTGGAAGGCATCCCTATCACTATGATGGACACAGGGTTAGAGTCCTCCCCGTGTACTCAAAGTTCTAGTCCCAACCTACTTTTCCAGTCCACTCTCCTCCACTCACAAAGATACACTCTATCCTCTGCTTAGACTAGACTGCTGATTCCCAACATGTCCTATGTTGTCAAACCAGCTCAGCTTTACTCACACATCCAGCTCAAAAGCTAACACCTTCCCACTCCTCCACTGATTCCTCCCTCAACTACACACAGCTCTCCCCTTGCTGACTACACTCAGTTCAAATAAGACTCTTTTGCACATATCATAGTCTGCCTCACACTTTAAGGGTACACTTCTACTTTTCCTCCGTCCTTAATCACCTTGGTGACACAAACTGATATATCATTTCCATAACCCTCACACTATGCAGCATAGAACTCAGCAAATATTAGCTAAGTGCTCTGGTCTCTAAGATCAAAATGATTCATTTCTACGACTCTATGCCAGGCTATGATGGCAACGTTCTTTTTGTTGTTGTTGTTGTTAGTGTGAGTATGTGTGTGTATCAATGGGGATTAAACACAGAATCCCATGAATCCTGGATGTGTAAGTAAAGTTGAGCTGGTTTGAAAAGGGAGAAGGACAAAAAGAATACATAAGAATATATTAAAAAGTTATGAACAAATTACTTATAATAGATTACTCCCTATTTGTAACATTACTTAATTATATTACTTATGGTAATAGCTGACATGAGTTAAGAAATCCTGTACTGGAGGCACTGTTTTAAGTGTTACAATAAATACACTGTGATCTCATTTTGTATCTACAAAATGTAATGGGGCTGGAGATATGACTCAGGAGTTAAGAGCACTGGCTTTTCTTCCAGAGAACCCAGGCTTTGTTTGATTCCTGCACCCAAGTGGCTGCTCACAATCCTATGATCTCCAGTCCCAGGGTATCCAATGCCCTCTTCTGGCCTCTGTGGACATAGTATGCACACCGTGCATGAACAAACGTGAAATACTCATACACATAAAAAAAATTAATCTTTAAAAACAGGAAGGGTTGAAGAGATGGCTCAGAGGTTAAAATCAGGCCACTCTTTCAGATGACCTGGGTCCAGATTCTAGCATCCGGATGGTGTCTTACAAATGTATGGAACTCCAGTCCCAGGGGATCTGATGCCCTCTTCTGGCCTCTTAAGTCACCAGACACACCAGTGGTGCACAGATGTACACGCAGACAAAATACCCATATGTTGAGGAATAATCTTTTCGTACACTGTGAAGATGTATCACTCTGATTGGTTTAATAAAAAAGCTGAATGACTAATAGCTAGGCAGGATTTCCAGGCACACAGGATGCTGGGAAGAAAAAGGGCAGAGTCGTGAGGAGACACCAGCGACACAGAACAAGCAGCATGGGCCTTACAAAGTAAAGGTAACTGAGTCACATAAAAGAACATAGATTAAAAGATATGGATTAATTATAAGTTATAAGCTAGAAACAAGTCTAAGCTATTGGCCAAGTTTTCATAATTAATAAAAAGTTTCCATTATTTGGAAGCTAGCAGGTAGGACAGAGAAAGTCTCTACACTCATACACACAAAATTAAAATTTAAAAAACCAGGAAACTGTCATTAACACAGTAACATTGGCTAATCTCTTAAATATTCAAAATGTCCTAACTTTTGAATATTTCTGCTAACATCTGCTAACATCATTTTCTAGTCCAGAAGCCAATTTAGAACTCAGAGTGAGTAAAACTGTCATGTCCACCTTGGTGTCCTCCAAGCTAGGGCGGCTCCTGTCTTTCCTCCTCTTTCCTTGGTATATTTTTGAAGAGTACTGAAAAGTAGAATGTTTTCAGTATGGGGTTTTCCAGTGTTTTCTCATGATAAAGTTCTGCTTATTCACTTAGTGCAACAATATCACACACGGAAGGGCTAGCAAGAGAAGAGGCCTCAGTGGGTAAATGTGCTTGCTGTCAAAGTCTGGAGACCTGAGTTAGATACCCAGAACCTACATAAAAGTGGAAGGGGAGAACAGACTCCACAAATTGTCCTCTAAGCTCCACACATGTGCTTTGGTTTCACGCCCCCCCCCCATCCACAGTACATACACAAACAATAATTGATTTAAAAATTAAAGTCAGTTGTGAGCCACCCGATGTGGGTGCTGGGAACTGAACTTGGGTCCTCTGTGAAAGCAGTAAGTGCTCAAAATCACTGACCCATCTCTCCAGGCCCTCTTCCTTTTAGTTATCCACCTACTTGTTTATAGCTGTATGGACTCAGAGTCAGACACTCTTGGGTTTTAACACAACTACTACCATCATTTATTATGTTATCACATCGTCCTTCAGGTTGGTTTCCACAGGGTTTTACTGTTTCCATCATTTTTTATTTTTTGGCAGTTCCTTACTTTCTGACACAGAGGTTTCAGGTTTATCTTATATCTTTCTGCTCCATGGGATCCCCATTTCTTCTCATGGGCTCTGAAACATGCCCTTTGCTGGAGCTGCAGGTGGTGTGATCACCCAAAGGCTGGGGTAGAAGGATCAAGAGTTCAAGTTTATCCCCAGTTATTTATCAAGTTTGAGGTCAACCTGAACTACATGGGGCAAAGGGGAAGGGAGCTATAGAAGAGGGGGAAGGGAAGAAAGGAAGAAAACAACTACCAGTCCTCAGTGACAACAATATACTCATATCCTGAACATATGTCTGGATATGAAACATTCACAGATCATTTATTCCTCAGCAAGGTGGGCATTGCTAATCCTTGTTTTACAAGTCATACACTCACAGATCCAAGAAGTATACATCATACAGTTAAGTGACAGAGCCCATAGGAAGCCCCAGATCTATCCAGATAGAAAGTTTACTGGGCAAGTGTTTACCAAGACTAATTTTTGATGAAACGTAAATTTGCTTTTTATAGCCTTAATAATAGCATGCTTATTTTAACACATTAGAGAAGAAAGTATCCCAGTCTAGCCTGTTGGGCTAATCTTGGCTACTCAACAGACAGAGACCAAGACAGAGAGAGGAAGAGAGGGAGTAAAGATGCACATAATACTAAGACTACATTACATTCATAGTTCCACACAAGATGAGGCTACTTTATAAAATAAATATAGAGGAAAAGTAAAAGATAAACAGACACAATATTGGTACAAGTCGGTGTTGAACAGATGGCTCAGTGGCTAAAATCACTGTCTGTTCCTGTAAACAACCCAGGACTGATTCCCAGCACCCATATGGTAGCTCACAACCATCCACAACTACAGGAATCAACACCCTCTTCTAGACTCCAAAGACATCAGACATGCATGTGGTGCACACACATACATGCAGGCAAAACACTCATACACAAAAAATAATAAATCTTAAAAAAAATAAAATTAGCCGGGCAGTGGTGGCACACGCCTTTAATCCTAGCACTCGGAGGCAGATGCAAGCAGTTCTCTGTGAGTACAAGACCAACCCAGTCCTGTGAGAGCTAGTTCCAGGACACCTAGAGCTGTTACACAGAGAAACCCTGTCTCGAAAAACAGAAAAAAAACTTAAATAAATGTGTAATCTTGAGCATGGCACCACACCACTCACCTGTAATTCTAGTACTTGGGAGATTGAAACAAAAGGATCTGTAGTTCAAGGTCATCCTCACTTCTGTAGTGAGCTCAAGACTATCCTGAACTACAGGAGACCTTGCCTCAAAATAAAATGATGATAATGGAGTTTGTTGTACTTTCAAATTTTTTCCCAATAGTGTTATAATTTCTAAATATCTAAATGTAATCACTAAGAATGTTAAGACTTCTATATTTAGGGACTCAACTAAGTCATCTACAAGATTTCTTCTGGTTTTAATATTTTATGGCTTCTTGCTGAAATAAGGAATAGCAGCCATACAAGGAGAAAATGCTAGAAAAAAATAGAAGCAAGGGCTGTGCCCACCTAAATTATTTTAATAGTGCTCAAAACATCACATGAGAACATTGAAAAAAAGGCTCTGGAAAATTATGCAACACCACACATCTGTGTGACAAAAAGGGCACAAGTCTGGGAAGAGGAGACCCAAACTGAACCTAATAATCTCTAACAGAGCCCTCCCCAAACACTTGTCTGTGCCCCTACTGAACAAGCACTTACTAAATGCCTAACATGTGCCAGGAACAGTGAGCTCGGTCAGAGTTGACCTACTGATTCTGAGGCTAGTCGAGGAGAAAGGTTTGTTTGTATTCATTAGGAGTGTCATAAAAAGTTACCACAGTTGAGGTGGCTTTAAGGACAAATTTGATTTATCTCACATTTCTGGAGACTGAAAATCTAAGACTCAGGTACCATAAGGTCTGAATCTCTTAGAACCAGCAGAAACTTATTTCTCATAGTTCCAAAAGTAGAGCTTCTGAGATTAGGGTTTTGGTATGATTGATTTAGGTAAGAGTCATCTCCCAGTGTGCAGACAATCAATTCTCATACACTGGAAATTAAAGGTTCCCAGGGGTCCCTTTCCACAAAGATATTAATCTCACTCCTGGGAGTTCTACTTTCATGATCTAATTAACCCCCAAAGCTCCCACTTCCTAATACAATCACATTAGGAACGAGGAGCCCAACATAGAAGCTTTTTTAAAGATTCATTTATTGTATTTGATGTATATGAATGCTTTGCCCATGTGTATACTTGTGTACCACATGCCTGCAGTGCCCCAGAGGCCAGAATAGGAAGTCAGGTCTCCTGGAACCAGAGTTACAGTAGGTTATGAACTGCCCTGAACCCAGATCCTCTGCAACATCAGTAAGTGCTCTTACCTGATGCCCTGCCTCCTCAGCCCCAACACAGACGTTTTAAGGGGACATATTCTGCTAGCATCTCGCTGTATCATCAGTCACATGGTTTTTTCTGTGTGTACACATCTTTAAGGTCTTTTTTTTTTGGTTTTGGGGGGCATTGAGACAGGGAACAGGGTTTCTTCTGTGTAGCCCTGGCTGTTCTGGAACTCATTCTGTAGACCAGACTGGGCTTGAACCCACAGAGATTTTTCCTGTCTCTGCCTCTGCCTCTCTGGTGCTGGGATTAAAGGCATGTGCCACCATACCTTGATCATTTTCTTATAATACTACATTAAAGAACACCACAAAAGCCTTATTTTAGCTTAATTGTCATTTTCAAAACCCTATCTCCAAATATACTCATTTTGAGGAAATAGAGGTTAGATCTTCAATGTGTGAGTTTAGGAGGATGGAGTTCATTCAGTTCATAACAGATTTCAAATCACAAATTACACAAGAATAATTCAAGCATAGTAACTCAACTGCAATCCCAGCAACTAGAATCAGTGTTAGAGAGATTGCTAAAAGCTCAAGGACAGCTTGAACTATACAGCAAGACTTTTTCCCAACCAAAAACAACAACAAAAATAAGCTGGGCATTGGCAGGGGTGGAAGCTGAGGGATTCGGAATCCAGGTCCAACCCCAGCTATAATATGAAGACCCTGTTTCAGAGAAAGAATCATTTAAACAAAATAAGAAACATATGAAGGCATATTTGATTGTTTTCATAGTACTATGGATCAAATCCAGGCTATCGCACATGCCAGACAAGCACTTAGATTCCCAATCTGTCATTGATTTTAACAGGAAATGTCGCTAACTAAAATTAGAGAATGTGGACCCAGTTCTAGTTGGAGACTCTAAAATCTATAGGCCTTCATCTTTTTATAATTTTATCCTGGTTGGTTGGTTGTTGTCAATTTGACGCAAACTAGGGTCATCTGAAAAGAAAGAACCTCCTTAAGATTGGCCTGTAGGAGATATGTAGAGTATTTTCTCGATTAATGATTGTTGTGGGAGGGCCTAGCTCACTATAAGTGGTGAGTGAGTCCCTCGGCAAGTAATCTTGGGATGTATAAGAAAGCAAACTAAGCAAGCCAGGAGGAACAAGTTAGTAAGCAGCCTTCCTCCATGACTTCTGCATCAGTTCCTGCATCTAGGTTCCAAACTTGGGTTCCTACCTTGCCTTCCCTCAAGAAGTGATGGAGTGTGAGTTGTAAGGTGAAATAAACCCTTTCTTCCCAAAGTTGCTTTTGGTCGTGGTTTCTTATAACAGCAATAGAAACTCTATGACAAATTTTGTATTATATCTAATTAATTTATTTTTCTTTGGGTGGGTACACATGCCACACACAGGGAATGTATAAAAAGTCTGAGAGGATAGCCCACAGGAGTCAACAATCTGCTTCTACCATGTGAGTTCCAAGGATGGAACTCAGGTTGTCAAGATTGGCAGCAGGTGCCTTTCCCTGCTAAGTCATATCACCAGACTTAAACCTTCACCTTCTGTTGTCATAAACATATTTTAGGGGTGGGCTTGGTGGTAAGCACCAATAATCCTAGCTACCAAGAAGCAGATTCAGATGGATCACTGAAGGCCAGGAGTTAGATGTACATTGAGCTGCATAGAAAGACCTTATCTCAAATATATGGAAGTTGTAGAATCAAATAACATAGGCTTGGATGCAATGTGTCTGTACCAGAGGAACAAACACAAACACTGTCCTCTTAATAGTCAACTAAAATTGTGTATTCAAACACAACAACTTGGAGGTCAGGTGGAAATTTTGGTTTACAGTTATCTGCTGCTCCTTGCTCTCATCTAAGTTGTCAGTATTTTAACGAACGATGTGGGGGTTGCAGTCTCAATAACCCTATCATGTCTTCCCTTAGATTCAGAAGCCATTTTCTTCACTTTCTCAGCTAAAATTTTCAGTAGGCCTGATTTTTTCTGTAGGCAGAGACTGCTTGTTCATTTACCAGCTGCCCAGACCCAAATAATCACACAGAAACTATATTAATTACAACACTGTTGGGCCCATTAGCTCAGGCTTCTTATAACTAACTCTTACATCTTAAATTAACCCATTTCTATTATTTTATATTTTACCATGAGGCTCATGGTTTGTTACCTCTTGCTTCTTGGGCAGCTACATGACATCTTTCTCCTTTGGCAGTTATGTGACGTATCCCTGACTCTGCCTACTCTCTATATATATTTCTTCCAGCCTATCTATATTCTGCCCTGTCATAGACCAAAGCAGATTCTTTATTAACCAATGGTAATAAAACATACTCATAACATACAGAGGGGAATCCCACATCATTTTTTCTTTTAAGATTTATTTATTTTTGCTTTGTACATGAGTGCCTGTGTAGGTCAGAAGAGGACACTGGATCCTCTGGAACTAGAGTTACAGACAATTGCAAGCCACCATGTAGGTGCTAGGAATCAAATTTGGGTTCTCTCTGCAAGAGCAGAATTTGCTTATAACCACTGGGCTATCTCTCCAGCTTTTAGGCTAGATTTTTAAGTCTCAGTTCTTTATTTACAGTATTTCTCTTTTGGAGTACCCTAGAGCCCATCAATGGAAGGTGGGACAGACAGACAGAGACACAGAGAAACAGAGCTTGTGCTGATCTAGGTACCCAGCCAGGTAGCACAACACTGGAGGACAGGGACACAGAAAGCTGTCCTTTTCCAGTATCTGAAAGTAACCGCATATGCCTCCAACAGGGGTTGCCAAAAGCCATGGGAACCAGCGCCAGGCTTCTGGGAGGTGGCTCCGGGAAGGCGGCCAAGAATGTGAATGCAGAGGTCAGTAATTCAGCCTTGACCACAGAGTTGGCACTATAGTGACCCAAAACCTTCATCTCCCCTTAAGCCCCTCTGAGACCAGGACAGATGTCTGAGCTAGCCTCAGCATCCCACCAGAGGTGGCACTAACGCCTGCTTTCTCCATGAGCAGGACTCAGGAACTAGATTCCTACCAGGATCTTTGTGTCCCCCACCAATGCTTTCCCCCAAATTTCCTGTACCTTCCCAAAAGGTTTTACTTTTTCCTGGCTCCCCAAAAGCATCTTGGATTCTAGTCTTAGGCTGATGTTCCTTATAGAAAGGATTGAAAGCAGAAGAAATGTCAGCCTAAAAAGACACCTGGACCCATTTTTTCATTCTTCACTCTCCACAGGGATATCCCAATGACTCCTCTAAACATGTCAGCAAACTCCTGCCCTCAGAGGTCACATAAAAACAACTTAGGAACCCAGGGGTTCACACAGCTTGAGGTCTCCATTGTTCTCTGTTGACCCTTTCCCCAGTCTGTTTGAAAGGCTGTCAGAAACCTGTCAAGTCCACACTCTAAACATACCAACCTTCCCATCTAAGCAGTAGCCTGTTGTTTACAGATTGGTTCCTGAGAGCCTCAAAGAGAAAATCCACACCAGTGCTGGAGTCACCAAAGAAGCAGTGTCCCTGTGATCATGTCAAGGACAGTGAGAAAAAAAACAGTAAGTTTCAAGAGAATGGCCTTGCTTATACCACACTCAGTTCTATGAACTCACTAGGGATGGAGGCAAGGCGGAGAAGATCAAAATAAACCAGCCCCTTTCTATTCAATGCCAACTTGTAGGAAAACAGAAAGAGCAAAAGCATTAGGATAGACTTGTTCTTAAACTAGAGATTTAACCAAATTCCTAGATTCTAGAACGTGTCATTTATCAAGGTAAAGGGAGATAGAGAGGCTGTGACCTGCCCATTGATTTCTGAAGATGACACCAGTATCAGTGTGGAACAGGATTTTGGCTTTACTTTCATCTGGCAGTTGGTTTTTCTGTTTGTTTGTTTTAATTTTATGTGTGTGGGTACCTTGCCTTCATGTATTTAATCTCAATGCAGTGCCCTCGAAGACCAGAAGTGGGAATTAGATTTCTTGAGACAGAAATTACAGGTGGCTTTGAGCCACCATGTGGGTGCTGGTAACTGAACCTTAGGCTTCTATAGGGGAAACTCATAGTCTTAATTGCTGAGCCATCTTTCCAGCTCCACAATCTTTTTTAAAATGTTATTATACAAAAAAAAGTAAATAAAGGGCCAGAAAGATGGCTCAGAAGGTGCTTGCAGTCTAATCTGATGACCTGAATCCAATCCCTGACACCCACATGATAAAAGGAGAGAACAGACTCCTGTAAGCTGCCTTCTGACTTCCAAATTTCCACTATGGCATGAATGCAACTCTACATATATGTGCACCACACACACACACACACACACACACACACACACACACACACACACACAAAACAAAACAAAACATGTTTTTTAAATTATATTTCATTTTACTGTGTGTGAGTGTATGTGTTTATGTAGTATCATATGTGTGGAAGTCAGAGAACAGAGTTGGGATTTAGTTCTCTCCTTTCACCATATTAGTCTCTGGGACTGAACTCAGATCATAAAATCTGGCAAATGCCTTACCTGGTGAGCCATTTCTTCCACCCCTGTTTGATTTTTTTTATTCTGATTTGTCCATTTTCTGCCCCCGACTCCAACTTTGATTTGGTTTTTGAGACAAGGTTTCCCTATGTAGTCCTGGCTGTTCTGGAACTTACTTTGTAGACCAGGCTGGCCTTGAACTCACATAGATCCACCTGTCTCTGCCTTCCGAGTGTGTGCCATCACCCAGTTTGTTTGGCTTTTTGAGATAGATTTCCATTCTAGCCTAAGTTGACTTGGAACTCACTTTATAGCCTAGGTAACCTCAGACTTACAAAGATGATACTGCTTCTGCCTCCTGAGTGCTGCGATTGCAGGCACGCACTACCACAGCCAGCTGCATCTCATAATTTCAAAAGTTTACATAAAAATTAAACTTAGAAATGTTTTTAAAAGAGCTAGAGAGAAAGAGCAGCCATTTAGAGCACTCACTGCTCTTTCAGAGGACCAGAGTAGCCAGACAATGATGGCACACACCTTTAATTCCAGCACTCAAGAGGCAGGGGCAGACTGTGAGTTCAAGGCCAGCCTGGTCTACAGAGCAAGTTCCAAGACAGCCAGAGCTACACAGAGAAACCCTGTCTTGAAATAAATCAAAGGACCAGAGTTTGGTTCCCAGCACAAATGTCAAGTGGCTCCCAACCACCTGTAACTCCAGCTCCAAGGGTTCTGAAATTCTATTCCAAATCCCACAGCACACACACATAAGTGGCATAAACACACACACACACACACACAAATAAAAATAAAACAAAGTATTTTTAAGTTTTTTATGACAGTATCCTTTGGTTTGTGCCCTAGGACACCAAAAGCACCACCGGAAGCCAAACAAGCCCTCCAGAACCTGCCAGCAATTTCTCAAACGATGTCAACTAGCAAGTTTCACTCTGCCCTTATAGTTCTGATACTCTACTCTCTCAAGTGAACACTCTCAGTGGAAAAGAGGTGATGAACCCTAGAGCTTGTTCTTGCTCTCCCCACCCTATCCTCACCAACAGCATCCCAGAGCTCAGAAAGCACTGCCCAGCATATTGGTTACTGTGCCCTCTACTGTCATCTTCTCTCATCACTATTGATTTCAGTGTGGATTAAATAATTTAAAATGATAGAGCCTCCATTCTTCTTGTTATTCAGCTCCTAGACCAGAATCTTATGTTGGTACTTTTATTTCTTAGGTTAAATAAGTTTCATGTTCCTATTGTGCGACTGTTTTTTCAAACCAACACACCACAAAGACCTTCTGAAAAACATGGTATATTTGACAGGCTTTCTGAAAATGGCCAGTCAAAATGTCAAAAACTTTGACAATATGTTAGTGCTAAATGATAACAGCAAAAAGTTCTGCTTTTGTTTAAGCTTTGCTTGCTTGCAGAGGTAATGAAGGACCTATAGAAGAGTCTCTCTGCTGCAGCTAAGGGCCACTTACATTCTCCTACTCCTAAGGAGGGGGCTATAAGTTAGGCTCGGCCATGAATAAATTTTACCCTGCAATATCTCGGTATTTAGCTCCTGGTTTTCGACACCATAACACTTACGCCTCTGTTCACCCTAAAAGAATCAAGGAAACCTCAGCTTCCTATTGGTCTCACTTGACCATAGGGAAACTAGCAAAGAAAATAATTAAATACATATATAATGCATATATATATGAATATATGGTATAAGAATATCAGTTATTTCAATCTAATGGAGTCTGACCACTCACATTCAATCCAGATGTCACCCTTTGCCCTGTTCATTCAAAACCCAAACCTAGGTTCTACACACATTTTTCCCTCCTTGACCCTCTTTCTCCATTGCCTGATTCTTTATTCTTTCACCATTCTAAGGTATAATGTCTGGGTGGGGCATAGAAAGCAGGTAAAGCACTGAATCAGATACTGCCTGATTAACAATAATAAAAGTTTAGAAATTGTGCTTTCTTAGCATCTAGACAGACATCAGTGTTTATGATTCCTATTATCATCATCCCCATTACTTCATTCTGTGGGTTTCTAATGTAATATAAGAGATATAAATGTAGAAACACAGTTCAAGGCTATAACGATGGTATGAAAGATCTCAGCTGCAATTCAAAAGGGTTTTGAACCTATAAAAATAGAATGACATCAATCTTTTTACTTTTTAGCATGGGTATAAAGTGATCAAAGCAACAATCTAAGACAATTGAACTGGCAACTAGTTGTAAGAATTAATGAAAAAGGAAACTATAATTATAAGTATACAGACTCCTCAAGTATTCTTCTGGCATCAGGAGTGGGGAAAATACTGAACTATGGTGGTACCCACGTGTGGTCACGGAACTTGGGAAATGGAGACAAGAAGCTCAGGAGCTTGAGGCCAGTCTGGGCTACATGAGATTCCCATCTCTGTGGGCAGAGAACACTCATCAGCTCATCTAGAATCACCCCAGATGAAACAAAAGATTCAGTTGTCTTATGAGAAGGGTAATTGGTCATTTTAACTGAGTGGTGAGTGGGGTGGGGCCCTATTTATGACACAAGAGGGCAAGCCCCTCCCTTCTTGAAAGATTGTACTGGGCACATGAGCCTCCTCCTTAGTCCTAATCCCTTTCCCAAAGTAAGAGTGACCACTTGGCAAGGAGCAAGCGAGGGGGTGGAGGGAGGCGGTGATAAACCCACAGGCTAGCTATAAAGGAAGCCCAGGAATGTCAGGACAAAGTATTGGAGCCCAAAGGGAAGTACCATCATGAAAGATCTGTGAAGAGGGAAGCTTGAGTGGTAGGAGTAGGGGCAGAAGGATGAAGCCTAGGAGACCAACTTCTTTCACAAGGGAAATACCAACTGTAGAACCAGATTCTACCTCGGTATCTAGGCCAGAATGGGAACCTGAAACACAGCAGAGACCTATAATCCAGCCAGATCCTGGGTCAGAAACAACCCTCAAAGATCATCTAGGATCAAAGATGCTGCAGGAATTCGGTACTCCACAGAAACCAAATCTCCCGCATGAGCCCACTGCCCAGCATGAAACTGAATTCCAGCAGAAACCAAGAGTTCCACAAAAATCTGCTCTGCTCCAGAAGATCCTCAGCCCACTAGCCTCCCCTGCACCACAGCAATCACCTCCCAGCCAGAAAGTGCTCTTGGATCAACAGGAAGCCACCTCCCACTGGGGACCAGGGGCAGGAAAAGTGTCTACAACTCCACAGGAATCACAACTCAGAAAAGAGCATGTGGGGATGACAGGATCTAGACCAACAGAACCACCTCTAGCTCCACATGAAGTGGAAGCTACATCTACAACCCAGGCTGGACCTGGACCCCCAAAGAAATCCCCTGCCCAAATTTACTCTCCATCCCAAGAAAGACTTGAACAATCAGATCCTACAACCCAGCAAACACCTGAGGTCCAAGAAACCAAATCCAAACAGGGATCTGTGAGGGAATCCGGTTTTTTAACAAGACTGCATGAACTATCCATACAGCGGACAGCCCAAGAGTGGAAGACATTTTTTGACTGGATTACGGAGTCTGACACAGAGGGACATCTGAGTTCATCTTCACAGTCAAATCTTCCAGAGCCAAAGAGTGGAATGGTGATCCCAGGAATGCCACTATCCTTCAAAGAGAAACTTGACTGTGAGACGGTTCCCGGATATGGCGGGAAATCACCACATAGGATGAAAGCCAGCCTCCAGCCTCACAAACACTTCTGGGACACAGGTGAGTCTGAACCTGGAAGACTGGAGCTTTCCAGGGCCACTTATTCGTGCTAAGAATTTTTTTTTTCCATCTGGGGTTATAGCACTCAGGATTCAACAATCCTGTGAAATAAAGAGCAGCACCCCCCCAGTCTATAGAGAAGGATGCTGAGGCATAAAAATGAGGAATGTGGCACAAGAGCCTGCAGTTTGGAAACAGCAAACACGGGACCAGGCTTCCCCCCTCCCAAAAAAAGATTTAGGTGAAATCAAACTGAGGTAGGAAAGAGCACTAACTCAAGAGTCACGTAAAAGAAACCACCCTCTTACCAGCATTCATTCATATGAGCCAAAAATAAATAAATAAAATGATGGCGTACGAGCTGTGGGACAGACATCAAGCTAAGCAACAAACAGCAGCACAACGTGCAGGGTGGGCCTGACCTTTCAGAGTGGTGTAGACAAGCTCAACATCCGGGGCCCTCACAGCCTCTGCCGCCAGGAACACTCGCTCCCCGGCCAGGTGCCTCCACGGGGCTCAGTGCCACGGAATGACTGTTTGATGGCGTACAGAAGCTAGGGAGAGGGGGCTGGACAGGACTGCCGAAGTCTGTGGCAAAGTCAAGGCTGAATGGAAACAGTATGGCAGGTGACTGCCCGCGGCTCCTCCGGAGCGGTGACAGGTAAGGCCACAGAGCCCCGGGCCTCAGAGCCGGCGGTGGTGGGCGTTCCCCTCAGGGAGCCGGCCGCCACCGCAAAGGCCCGAGCTGTTTCTGAGGGCTGAGCAATGCCCGCTCTGCGTCCCAGGGCCGGGGAAACATTACTCCTGCTTTCCGGACGCCTCTGGCCAGCGCTAACCCAGTGGCTGCGGAGAGCGCAGGGAGCCACGAGCGCACGTGCTAGCCTTGGCCTCCTCAGTTTCCCGCCTTTTCCCGGGCACGTGGGCTCCGTCAACTTTGGCTCCTTTCAGTTAGTCGACCCTGTGGCCGCAAGCTGCTGGGCAGGCGCAGAACGTCCTCTTCCTCCAGTCCCCTCCATCCCTTTGAGGGAAGGGGAGAGAAACCTCGAGAAACAGAGCAATACGAACTCGTAGGGGCAGAGAATGTGTATGTGAGAGGGGGGAAGAAAGTCTGACCGGAAGCAGGCGGTCTGCCGAAAGGCCAAGGCCAGCCTAGGCTCCACCGTGGGTGCCAGGCTAACCTCAGCTACACTACATGGACCCCAGTCAGGAGGCGGAGCAAAGGCGGGGCTTCCCTAACGGCGACCCCACTCGGGCCCGCCCTCATGCGGGCCCCGCCCACGCCGTAGGCGGCCCGAGGACCTGGCACGCCCCCTGCCCGCTGGTTTTCATCTCTCCTGGGGGGCGGGCGGAGTTCTTGGACAGGTGAATGGGATGGCGAGGCGCGGCTCCTGCACAGGAGACGACCGGGGTGACTGTGGGGGTGACTCTAGCGCCACTCCTCGCTACTCCTGCTCTGTAGACACTTTTCGCCGCCTCCGGGGTTGTATTTTATTGTCTTTGCTGTGGTTGGCTGCGGTTCCTTTAACCTGAGCGGATGGGCGGGCCAAAGCATTCGGGCCCACCCTTTGGAGGCGGGGCCTAGCGGGGAGCAAGCCCAGGATTGGGCGGTTTGGGGGCCGGGCGGTGGTGTGTAAGGAGGATTGACTTTAGAGGAGGGACTGGACTGCTGGAATTGGGCCCCGCGCCGGGACTGGGAAAGAACTGATGGAGCCAGCCGTGGAATCGGGGAGCGTGGGGACCCGGGCCTCCAAGCAGGCCAAAGAAGGGTCGAAGAACCGCAGCCGCAGGAGGTGGCGAAAAGGCAAGGTCAAAGGTGAGCCGGTGGCCGCTCGGAAGAAAGTCTGCAGGTCCTGCGGGGGACGGGGCGGGCGGGGGGGCTGGGGGAGGGACTGGGGGGCACTGACCCACTTCCACAACGGGAGGGGGAGAGCGGCCCGTGGACTGACCCACTGCAGTCCTGCGCGGGGGACGGAGACCATCCATTATTCGAACGGGTGATGTGAGAGTAGAACGTCCCACCCAGACGTCAGAACTACCGACTGTCCCAGTGCGGTCTTGGGAGAAGTGTCTGCAATGCGAGTCTGTCGGAATAGATAAGGTTCCCGCTCGGGTTAGCTATTCTCTGTGGGACCAAGAACAACAGTTGCGCTCTTGGTGTTTTCGGCCTGGGAAATGGTTCGAACGTCGATTTTTCATGTCTTCTGCACTCTTAAGAGGATAATGGGGAAGAATTGTAGCCGCTTTTACGAAAAGTGGAACATGTGTAGGCGTGTGAAAGGTAGGTGGAAGGGGTACCCGTAGCTGGAGAATATCCTCACAGCCCTTCTTCCACTCCCAGCAACACTGGGGCGAAACTCCT